ACCCGCTATCAAACACAAGCTCTGTTCCAAAGCCTTGTGAGCCGCATTGCTATATAGTGTTTACTCAGTCAGCTACCTTCTGAGGTACGCTAAAATATAGAAGCAAGTGATTTGAAATGCACAATGTTGGCAGCAAATAGCACTCCTCAAGTGAAGCGCACGAGCAAGGCGACTCACAATTGATAGCATGTTGCTAAGCTAACAATGTGATACTCTGATAAGCTTAACAATGCACATAGCTGACACATTTATTAGGAAAAGAGTACATTTTAATTAAATATAATCACTTTTTTATTGATTCCGCCATACACCATCTTGGGTGTTTTTATTATTATTATTATTAAGCTGCCTTAAAGTCAATTCTGTCACAGTTCAGACAAACGTAACAACACAAAAAGTCAGTGTATTCTTTCGTTATGGTCACTAACTAACTAACTAACTAACTAACTAAATAAATGGACAGTTCACACACACACACAAAGAAAAAAAAAAGAGAATCTCTTTTTTTATATTCATGTTGTTCTAAAACTGTGATTTTGTCTTCTATGAATTACATAAAGAGAAGTCCAAAACAAAGCAGAATGTCCAAGTTGCTCTTTTCCATACAATGAAAGTGGGTTAGGACTGAAGAACTCATGATATTATTGTTAACTAAAACTATTAAAAATTGTTTTTGGTAATTTAAATAAAATAAAATTAATAAATATATATATAAATAAATTTTACATGAAAAACACAAAACTCAAACAACAATTAACAATGTTGTTGTCTTGGCAACTAACTGAGATAAATAAGTGTAAATTGAAGTACTAAAATAACTAAAACTGAAATAATAATAATTATAATAATGACAAAATCAAACAAAATTACTAAAACAAAAATGTAAATGAAAACTGAAAATATAAACATAAATTCTAATTCTAAATATAAATAAATTATATAATGGTATATAAATATTAAGGTACTAAAATAACCAAAATAATTTTTTTTTTTTTAAATTAAAGATAATAATAAAAATGACAAAAGCTAACAAAATTACTAAAACTTTAGTCATTTAAAATTTAAAAATTAAAATGAAAACAGAATCTATAAAAATCTAATTCAAAATATTTATAAATATTACAATGATATAAAAATGTTACTAAAATAACATAAGATAACAAAGGTATCATAAGATTGGTCTATATTACATATTTCCAGTCTTCTTATGCTATATGATAGCTTTGTGTGATAAACAGACCGAAATGAAACGAGTTATTCGAATTTCATGTTTGGCTGAACTGTTTCTTTAAACCCAAACTGAAATCCTTATCTACCACTCATAGCTTCCATAACATCATCTTTTTTTTTTTATCTAATCCTCTTTCTTATAATCCTTCAACATGGCTGCTGTGAGTCTGGCCATGTGTGCTTGTGTGGACTTCATGCGGTTACGTCCTCGAGGTGTGGACACTCCAGAGAATGACTGTGAGAATCTCATTCTCAGCGGTACACGGCGTCTGGACCGAGGTGCCACGACGGAAACAGAGAATGCAACATTTGCATTTAAAAAGGTGACATTTGCAATGCTGGTCTGGAGGCGCAGGCATGAGAGGAGAGACAGGTGCTGGGATAGCCCATATTCATCTCGGTGACAGGAGGACGACAATGAGAATGTCAAAGCCAAGAGTTAGACAGCACACCAAATCACACACACACGCTCCGAAACGAAGGCCGCTGTCCAAAATAACCCTGACAATCCACCCCCTCATCTCTCAAACCCATGTGCAGATAAATTGGTGGCTGTTCGAATAGACTTTTACCTCATACCGAAGTAATTACGTGAAAACAAGGGCTGGAAATTGTAATATCTGTTGTAGTCGCATTAAACTTCAAGTTCAGGCGAAGTGGTACATGCATTATTTATGTGAAATGTGGAATAAATGATAATGTAAACACAGACTGTTTAGACCTGAGGAGCATATGATTAGTGTGAGTTGAATTGTCTTCATTGTTTGTGAAGTGCAGGCGGGTCGTTCGGAGTTCATGTTGGTGCTGATGAGAATCAGATCTGGGGTTTGTTCGCTCTGTGAAGGGTTCTGATTGGCTGCCGTGATCAGAGAGCTGTGCTTGAACAATGAACTGCTAGATGCAGAGTGGGAAATGTGCGTTAAAGAATTTCAATGTTTTCTGAACAAGGCAAAATGGTATAATGTCATGAATTTTTGGCCATGTACCATGTTAACAGCATGTTTCTTAAAGGGGTCATATGATGCGATTTCAATTTTTCCTTTCTCTTTGGAGTGTTACAAGCTCTTGGTGCATAAAGATGATCTGTAAAGTTGCAAAGACTAAAGTCTCAAATCCAAAGAGTAGCTGGCCAATCAGAGCACACCTCGTTTTTCAGACCGATGAGTTTTGTAAAAATCGACGCGTTTCAGAAAGGCGGGGCATAGAGGAGAAACAATAATGTACAGTATGTGGAAAATAATGTGTTTTTTGAAGATTAAACCGCATAAACACATTTCATTACACCAAATACACAAAATAATGTTCTTTTTAGCAACATCATATGACCCCTTTAAAACCTGTCAAAAATTTTGACTGATTTAAAATTTAAGCTTCTGCCAAAATGGATGAAAATAGTTTTATTTGATAAATATATTTGCATTTATTGGGTCAAAATATAATAAAAACAGTAATATTTTTAAAATATTATTACAATTTCAAATAACTATTTTCTATTTGAATATATTGTAAAATGTGATTTATTCCTGTGATCAAAGCTGAATTTTCAGCATCATTAGTCTTCAGTGTCACATGATCCTTCAGAAATCATTCTAATATGCTGATTTGCTGCTCATATTTATGTTTTATTCTTTTTTTTACTCTTTAATGAACAGGAAGTCCAAAAGATTTTCAAAAGAAACAGAAATCATTTGTAACATTATAAATGTCTCTCTCTCTCTCTCTCTCTCTCTCTCTCTTGTTTTTTTCATCTTTTTCAACTTAATGCAGGGGTATTATATTTAACTAAACCTAAAACCATGAAAGCATTTACATTACTAAAATATTTTTTTTAAAACTCTTATTTTATTTTAGCTAGTTGCCAAAGCAAGATTTCCAATTTTCATTTAGTTTAAATTAATATACTAAAATAAACAAAACTTAAATAAAACGTAATAAAAACTATATATATACATAGAAGAAAAAACTATATAAATGACAAAAAAGCTAAAACTTTAAAATTTAACTGAAAATGGAAACTGCAAAAATGAAAACAAAAGTATAATAATAATTATAATTATATTTCAATTATACTAAAATAACACTGCTACGGTTCAGAAGTTTAGGATCAGTAAGCATACAGATTATATGTATATATGCATATCAAAAGTCAAACTGAGCGATATTTGGTAGATGATTATATATATATATATATATATATATATATTCTACAAATGGCATTCATCTTAAAATGTTAATAAAAACATAACTGTATTGTGTTGGCATTCCTACAAAACCATAAGTCTCTGAGCCTCAGGTGCTGCTTGTTTCCAGCAAGATCTTAATTTGGGCCTCTGCCTTCTGGCGAAACCTCAAATGTGCAAATATCTGAAAGAAGTGCGGTGTTTAAGGTCTCTAATCTTGCTGAATTGATTTATTGCTGCTCGTCCCCGGCCAAATCCCTTCCTCATTAATATCCGTTGAAGCAAAAGGAAAACAGTTAGGTTTGCATCTAAAATTATACATTTTAAACATATGTATTAGGGGATATTCTCATATTAAGGCATTCAACAAGCTTGCCCCCATTTCCAAATAATAACAAGCATCTCATATTTTAATACGCCTCCCTTGAAAGACAATTATCTTTAATCGGGATCTTTCTCTTTGTTCTCATGACTGCTTTTATCAGAGGAGATCATTATGGGCCAACTATTACCCAGAGTATAGTTTTACAGGCAATAAATAACAATATACGGTTGTAGGCGCTGTTTATTCATTAATTCATTTGTTTTATTTTTATTTTGGAATAACTTTAGGATAAAGAAGAGACGGAAATGAGAGCATTAAACACCCAAACATAAATTGAAAATTCTGTCATTATTCACTGTTGACTACTTTTGTGATGCTTTTTGGTCACCATTAACTTTCATTGCATGGAAAAGGCTTTAACATTCTGCTAAATTACTCCTTTTGTGTTTCACCGAAGAAAGTAACAGAATTTTCATTTAGGACCTTTTCTTTTAAAAAAAAACAAGATTTTTTTCAAGAGCTGCAGCGGGGGGGAAGATTTTTACTGAATAACAACTTAAATTGTTTTGTTTTTTTCACACAAAGCTATACACAAAGCAATGTATATATATATATATATATATATATATATATAAAAAATAATGCGATTAAAATATTTTAACACAGTTAACGCACTGGCCCCGCCCCAAACCTGTAGATAGAATGCAAAAAGATTAGAAAGCAATTTTTTTTTTTTTAAAGAAAACAAGCAGCAAATTAATAGAGTGCATGTCTAAAAGGGGCAAGTGTTTTTTTTTTAAGAATAGAATTAGAATAGAGAGTGCTAGAGTTAGAGGGTCAAATAAAGATGGAAGAGATGTGTTTTTAGCCGATTCTTGAAGATGGCTAAGGACTCAGCTGCTCGGATTGAGTTACGTGTACTGCGTTAAGCTAACTGAGACTTGTTATAGCACTTGCATATCATTGCTCTTTTGTTAGTTTTGATTGCTTCTATTGTCCTCATTTGTAAGTCGCTTTGGATAAAAGTGTCTGCTAAATGACTAAATATAAATGTAAATTATTGTCATAATACACTTTATTTGCATGGACAAGGGCAGCGCTAACATTCTGCTAAATTCCTCCTTTTGCGTTTCACAGAAGAAAGCTAGTTTTTCTAAGAGTAAATATTCCGAATTTTCATTTTGGACTGAATTATCTTTGAGAAAGAACAGGAGACCATTCTTGTGTGTAAAACGGACATTTCCAAAGCAAAAATGAAATCTTACCTTCATTAAGACGGATTCACTGAGCTTTTCTCGGTTTACAATCTTTATGGCGACTTTCTGACATGTGACACAGTGGACCCCGAGCTTTACAAGACCTAGAGAAAAAAAAAAGAAGAAAGAAATTGGTCTAATCATTGGTCTGCAACATGGCTGAGCAATGTTTTCGCTCACAATTTAATCAGGAAACCCCTCTCACAGGCCATTTCCTGTTACACACAAGCACGTGCCAGACGCTTCATTCATATCTCAAGACAAACAGCGTCAGGTACAGCAGATAAGCAAAACTGCGAGAGGAATTGATGGCGAACAGCTACCTAAAGGCCTTTCTGCTTTATCACTCGTGATGTGGAGTTTCATGGTGCGCGAGGAAATCATTTCTCCCAAACATCCACCACACGCTTAACACTTCTATTAGTCAAAGTGCTGAATGTTTACAGGCTTTACGCTGCATGCTTCCCCCTCACTTCTCGATACTACACCACGTTCAAGGACTTTCTAAAGAAAAATCTGCAGCGTAAACACCTCGGGTCCTTCGGTGACTGTTGAGCAAGCGTTTTCAAACGAGACAAAAACCACTAAAGATGATTCAGCAAAGTTGTTTGCTGCTCCGCACATAGTAGAGTTTGAATTGTTGGGTAGATAGGGAGGGTTGGATGCCTGCATGAGATAAGATAATGAATGTTTCATATCCTAAGGTGCACGCGTATCGGAAAACTGACAGGAGCGTACACGGAAAACGCTGTGATTTGCAAAGAGGATGCTGTGAATGTTTTTGGCTTGTATTAAAGTGTAAGAAACCCCCACCTCATCCCTACCAAACCCTCGTCCCTGATGACACTCAACGGACACTCCTGAACAACCTCTGCTCTCATGTGACTCAATGGCTCTTTATGAGCTGTGGAAAAATGGCTGGTTTTGAGATGAGATGAGGTCTTAAGATGGAGTGCAAAACTGTCCACTGCTGAAGAGGAGACGGAACAGCGAATACTATTTTTATGCCTTTAAAGGAACTGGGCTGTTCATTTATATTATATTTTATTATATTATATCACATTATATCACATATGAATATAAGACGACCGCGTTTTTTCAGATGTATTTCCAAGAAAAAAACATTGTCTTATATTCGGGTCAATACGGTATATCACATTATATTATATTATATCACATTATATATTATATTATATTATATTACATTATATCACATTATATTATATTATATCACATTATGCTATATTATGTTATATCACATTATATTATATTATATCACATTATATTATATTACATTATATCACATTATATTATATCACATTATATCACATTATATCACTTTATATTATATCACATTATATTATTCTATAATGAACATGTTTTTATTTTCTTAATTAAAATTCATTTTGATATGAAAAACACGACAAGGTAAAATTGGCAGGGTGATATAACTGCCGTGATATCCCAATTAAGAAAAAAAGCCATTTAAAAAACTAATTTAAAAAAAAGAAAACCTTAAGCAGCTTGTCATTATCTTTGAGTACTATTTTTTAGAAAAACATTTTAAGCAGTGAAGTAGTTTTGTTATAAATATTTGAAAAATATTTTGACGCAAATTAGTCATGTGGTTCAACCAACACACAGAAACATGCACAAAAAATAAAGTCAATAAGTCTCTTAAAATATCAGCTCTGACCTTTTAGGACAAGGCAAGGATAGTTCAGGCTGTAAAATGTCATGTGGTGCGACTCTTTAATGATATTTATGAATAAATAATGTAAAATATAATGTTCACCATGACAATTATATAGACCAAATCTATAATCCCTATCAGCTTCAGCTTCTCCATGTGGAGAGAGAAAACAAACCCTGCTATAATTACATTAATTTATGATAAACGATTCACAGTCCGGGTAGAAGCAGTCTCAGGTCTGGATCTGGACTGCAAACTGCTAATTGGTGACCTCTGATATAGGGTGCACCAAACGGGACATATTATACGGTAAAGCCCTGCACCCTTCAGGTGCGAGAAAGAGAGGGAATATCATTCAAATGTCAGCCACAGCTAATTAAACAATAATGACACTTGACGGCAAACCCAACAGAGTGTGTGTGTGTGTGTGTGTGTGTGTGTGTGTGTGTGTGTGTGTGTGAGAGAG